TAGGCACTGGAGTCGCACTTTCCAAGGTCAGGGGAGGCATCGGGGAGGGGTGACAGAGATAGATGCCCAGCAGCTAGAAGGGACAGCTGCTTTCCACGAAGCGGCGACACTTCATGACCCGCAGGTATGTCTCAGCCTTGTGCAAGTCCTTCTTGAAGCAAGAGAGCAGCCCGTAGTTCTTGAGGAGTGCATCATCACTACGCAGGTTTGTGTCAAACTTGTCATAGGTTTGCTTGAGGATCTGCCCAGCCCGAGGACTGCCATCCTCCAGCTCCTGAAAAAGAAGACAGACAGAGACTCAATCCTTGCAAGCTGTTCCCTCCTTTCCCCTCCACGGCCTTTCTCCCCACTGCCAGGGCTTAGAGAAAAACATGGAGGATTCAAAAAGGGAAAGAAGGAGTGACATTTCTCCTGGGTCAAGGCTGGGCTGCTACAAAGAGAGGGGCCATATCTCCTCCAGCTCACGCAAGCCTTCCATCCCTCAGCTAGCCAGCGGGGGCTCCAGGGCCAGAGAGAGTGGGTGTGGCCCCTGGGGTTGGGGACCCGCAATGCCATCCCCACCCGCATCAGGGCTTGGATGCCTTCCTCCAGGTCCTTCAGCTTTTCATAGACGCGGTCTGAGGTGCCAAACACCAGGCTGTTGGTGAAGACCCTGCTGAGGAATTGCACCGGCCCGAGCCAGGACTGGATGAGCAGCAGCGAGAAGCGGAGCAGCTCCATGTCCTGCGGGGACGGGGTGAGTAGTGGGTACCCGGCAACCTCGCCAACGGCTGGCCTCTGCCCGCAGGCCCTCCCTTTCCACCCCCTGCTACCCTCTGCCAGCTCGGGCTGAAGGTGGCGCAGGGTCCGGGGGCAGGCAGGGCTGCCTGGGCTCCTGCTCAGAGAAGGGTCGACCTTCTTAGAAAAAGGGAAGCCTCTGTTTTTTGGCTGGGCCGCGGCGGCCGCTTACGGATCTCTGCTGGGCCTCGTCCTTGCCCGTGGGGGCTGGGATGGTTTCCGAGAAGCAGAAGGCAGCCTGGGCGTTCTGGATCGAATATCTCTGTCCCTCCGGGATGTACGCTCGCTCCTGGGAGAAGGAATGCCCGTCCAGGTCTAAGCCAGTGCACGGTTCTCATCACTGATTTATTCGAACCCCTCTCATTTTATACTCACCTGACAGCATCTTCACGTGGATAAAATAACCCTGAACTCATCAGTTTCCTCCCCTTACATCCCGGTGGTGGGGGAATTCACCCCTTCCTGCCACCCCCCACCAGCACCCATTCCTGGGGAGCTTACAAACTCCTTGTAGGTGTCAGCAGCCAGTTGGTGCAGGTGCTGGGCCCGGAGAACAGCGTTGGCAAACAGGCTGGATAAGGGCATGGTGGGGAAGGCGTCCACTGCCTGAGGCCAGGGCAGGCAGAGCAGGGTGAAAGCCAGGAGCATGGAGGTCCGAGGGCCTGGAGAGAGAGACACAGAAGTCAAATTAAGGGCAGGGGCCGACAGAGCAGGAAGCCTAGGTCTCCTGCCAGCCTTCTCCTTGCCCGAGGGCCCATCCCTCTCTCTCCGCCTTCCCCCAGAGACTGAGAGCATTTAAACTTGGCCAAATGTCTGGGCTAGGTGTCTATGCTTCCATTCAGAAGCCTCAAAGGCCAGGGTTAGTGCCGCCATGGGACTGCAGGGCCCCCATATCACCCCTCAGTACATACCAAGCCCGAGGGGATTTTAGGAGCGCCTACCTGTAGCCATCGCAGCTGGGTGAGCTGTCCACAGGTCCCTGAGCGGTTTGGGGAGCTGGGTCCTAGGATCCTGGAATTGGTCCCTTGCGGGCCCTTTTTATACCCTGGCGCCTCTCTCCCCTGCTCTGCCCCTACCTATTTCCTCCATATATTTATGCATGGGGCCACCGACGGGCCTCTGCTGATGGATAATTTAGAACCTCCTCCCACTCATCCTGTTCCCGCTCCACTCCTGGGGTCATGTCCCCCAGGTTTGTCATCTTTGCTCTCCGCTATCACTAGCCCTGTGAGGGTTGCACACGCAGGGTCTCGGCGAGAGAGACCACCTCTTTTTTAAGGGGGTGGTGGCAGAAGGGAGTATGGTTGCATGGTTGCAGGTGCATGGTTGCAGGATGTCACTGCGGAGTTGTCCACCAGGGTGAGGAGGGCCCGACCTGGTCCCCAAAAGGGGTTTGCTTCAGGATGGCTGTGCCTTGAGCACTGTGCTGACCCCTTCCTCCCTCTAACATCCCTTTCCTCCTCCCTGCACAGCTCCCCTCCGATCACAAGAGAGGATGTGTGTGTTGGAAAAGGAGGCCAAGATGGCGAGAGATTCTGGGGTTTCTGGACACAGTTCAGCCCCAGATTCCATCTTCACCTTTATCACCATCCTCAGACCATCCCACCCCCTGGTCCGGGCTCAGGCTGCTGGAGGCATTACTAATATTGACCACTAGAGGGTATCAGCCCCACACACTGCCCTCCCCTTTCTCTGAGCATTGGAACTCCTCCACCCCCACCCCCACCCCCACCCCACGTGGGTGGGCAAAATTTGTGATATGGACCTGCACAGAAATGCAAACTAAGCAGAAATGCCGGGAACACAGGTACCACAAGTGCTTCCTCTTGCAGTCCTGTCACCGTCAGAGAATCTCAAAGGTGGAAGATGAGCTTGAGTCTGTCCCCAGCGCAGGAACTCAGGGTGCAGCACCCTGAAATATGCTCTTTGCAGTCTTTGTAGTCCCCTCCCATTCTGTCTTCTCTTTGCAATACCCGTATAGAGCTTGTCAGGATGTGAGAAGCCTGGCTATGTATTCTCACATTTGATTCTCATGACCGTCTTGTGAAGAAAGTATTGTTAACATCCCATTTTACAGAGGAAGAGACCGAGGTTCAGAGAGCCAGACTCGCATGAGTTACCCTGGCTAAGGTAGCACATCTTCAGAGCCTCATGTCATGTGGCATCATCTCAAGCCCTTTCCCCAAAGCAGACTAGGTGGGCGCCCCTAGTTATTTTGACGTCACATCCCTCTGAACACGGAGACGCCCCTCACGACTAGGGTCCTTTTGCCGCATTTTGTCCTCCTCTAAAAGGCAGACTGTTGCCCCTCATTTCCCGGGTGAGAAGGGCCCAGAGACACGGGGTGCATGTCGGAGACTGCACAGCAGGCAAGGCTAAGGTCGGGTAGGCTGGGACTCCTGCCTTCCGGCCTCCCGGTGCCCAGGGTCCTGGCTATTTCAGCATCTGGAGGTCACCAGCATCAAATTACCCAGGGGTAAGAGCAGGAAAGAATACATTTCCCTCTGTTTAAACCTTCTACCCCTTGAATCTAAGAACATTTAGCAGTTGATCCTGTGGGAAGACAAACAAATGAACAAGCAAACCCTTCCAGAGGTGGTTGGTTTTGGTGTTGGCAACCAACATCCAAAAGTCACACCCCCGTGGTCTACAACCTGAGTACTTGCGCCTTGCCATCATACTCTCTTTTTAGGACCCAAAGATAAAGCTCCTTTTTGTCCCATTGTTCCTGAATCATTGCCCAGCTGCGCCCTGGCACAGGGACCTGTGGCAGCTATTCTCCAGGCAGGACTGTGGGGGTGACATCAAAGATACAGGCTCTGAGGAAGGTGAGACGTCTTTTTCCTCGCATCCTTCCAGCTCCACCAAAGGGGGGGAAGCCGGATGGGCAGTGGAGAAGGGTCTCTGAGACCCAGGCAGCCTTCTGCCTCCTCCACCACTCCTCCCTCCTATGTCACGTGAGAGAAGGAGTGGAACCCCTCACGATGGGCTTCTAGCTGAAGCTGGGGGAACTTGTATGTAAACTGCGGGCCATGGGAGAAAAGCCCCAGGCCTCCCCTAGGTATGAGGGTATAGAGCCCAAGTTGGGGACTGCTTCAGAGCCACTCAAGGTGGGCACCAGTGGTGTGGCTGAGGCTCCCCACCAGGAAGGCTATCACCAAGAATAGATGGGACCGGCCAGGGCAGGGACTATGTCCTTCCACCAAACCCACTTCTGTTGACCCCAGAACTAGGTTGGCCTACGGGCTCTGGGGACCCCTGGGGATATGCCTCCACAAAAGGTTACCATGGCAGCAAAGAGAGAAGACCAGAAGGGTGTGGGGTAGGTGTTGGCAAGCCCTTTCTGTCGTCTAGGCCTTTTCAGGGCCTTAGTGATGGAGACCACATACATGATTCATTCCTGGTAGAAGATAAACTTTGAATTAGTTGGGATTTTCCCTCCAGTGCTGGAGAGTCACCCACCTTTTCTTGAGACACCACCTGGGGCCAGACCCCTGGCTTCTCCAGGTTCAGAGACTGCCCAGCAATGGCCCCGGCATGGTGGCCAGTGGGGAGAAGCCGTGAGTACCATCTCTAAGGTCAGCCTTAAAACGCTTGGGATGAATCCCCCATTATCTTGGAACCCATGAATTTCAATGTGTTGGGAAGCCCTTCGTATGTCCAGATTTAACCATCTCTGGGGTTCTCTGCACCTGTTTTAGAAGCTCACAGATCTGCTCTCCATTCAAAGTGGTCTCTCTCAGGCTTCAAGAGCCTCTCTGAGGTTCAAGTCCATGAGGTTTGGGGCCATCTCATTATTTAGAGTCACACTTGCCTTGCTCTTAGGAACAACCTCAGAGGGACTGGTGGCAGCTCTTTCTACTCCCGCTTGGTCCCTTGAGGCCCATACTTCCCACTGCTCACTCTGTCTTGCTTTCCTTGAGGCCAGAGGCTGGGACCACCACCAGGACATACTTTACATCCTTTCTGCTTGCAGCATGGGTCTGAGTGCCACACTGATCACTCAGGGCATTGGGTCAAGGACTTTAGAGAACATTATGTGGGGATTCCCAAGGGCTCCTCCAGGGGAGATGGGGAAGGAGATCAACATTTCTGAGTGTCCACCATGTACCAAGCGCTGTACTGGGTGACAGAGGGTGAGGACGATTTCCTAGAGGGCATTCAGGCTCAAAGAGATAAAGCACTTTGCCCGGAGTCTCCCAGCTCCTAACTGGTGGCTGCCCAAGGCCCGGTGTTGCCACGGCACCGAGGTCTCTAGAAGCTTCATCCAGGAAAGACAGTGGCGCTGCTGGGTGTGGACTGTGCAAAGCTAGCAGGGCAGCATCAAGTCCCTGCTCAGATATTCAAAGAAGATGGGAGTAATTGGACGCAAGGAGCATCAGCCCAAAACGAGGTCCACCGAGAAAAGCGACAGAAAAACAACCTGGTGTAGCCCGATTTAATGAACCAAGCCACATCGCCCTTCACATTTGTATTGCATGTTTCAGTGTACGTCATGTTTTCACTTCCTTTATCTCATCGGACCCTTGGGTTAGCCAGAGGGTTCAAACATGGAGGACCGTCCTTGGGGGAGAGGGTGTCGTTTATACTAGTTGAGGACCTCAGAACAATCTAGAAATGCATACCAATCTCCACGACTGGACATACTAAGTCATTTCCTTTGGAGCTTATTCCCCAGGGAGACGGCCCATGGAAAAAGAAGCCATAAGAATCGAGATGTGTCCAGCAGCTGCGGGAAGTCTGGGGTGCTTTCCTGATGGGTGACCTCAGCTGGAAATAACTTCTGCCTCATTTTACCTTATTCTGCGGTTACTTGTGGACACCTTATCCCTCTTTGAGGCTGGATGCATGCCTTTCATCCATTCATTCACTCGTTCTCTTATTCATGCACTAACTGATTTAATAAGGAGTTGTCGCTCCTTCCATATGCCAGACACCGTACCAGGCAGATGGGCATACCTAGCTGAACAAGAGACACAATCTTTTCTCTGCTGGAGCTTCCAGTCTATGGGAAGAGAGACGATAGCAAACGAATAAATACGTAATAGTAGAATATGCACAGACATTTCCCACTGTGAAAGCTGCCATGAAGAAATAGCTAAGATTAGAAGTGAGAGAATAACACGGGGACTCGGGGGGCACTGGCAGCTGGCATGGTCCCCAGGCCCAGCAACTCAACAAGCATCTGCTGAGTGGATTGAATGGTTGGAAGGACAGGGCCAAGGAAAGAGCTCAAATATCCACCTGGCCAGAAATGACAAGGCAGACCACGTTGTGTCTCGATGATCTCAGAGGAGAGCGAATTTAAAATAACAAGTACAAAAAAATAAATAAATAAAAAATAAAAAAAATAAAAGCAAGTAAAGGATCTCGCAATGCGCGACGAGACATACGTAAAAACATTGAAATGAAAAAAAAAAAGTAGACAAAACGGTGTGCGTGTGCTGACCCCAAGTACACACAGATGTTCTACGTGGACTCACATCTTGCAGAAAGCGAGCCTGGAGCGGGAGCTCACCAGGTGGCCTGCCCTCCCACTCCTGCCACGTGAGAAAGTGGTCTCAGATCCCAGAGAAAGATGTCTTTTGTTTTTCAAATTTGAAAATTGCGTTAGGATCTACCTAAATGTGTTTTAACAAACTGCTCCGAATTCAGAATCGAATGCTTGTTTTGTACTATGTGGAGTCACCCAAGTTGCCAAGTAAAGGGTTAGAGAGGGCAGCTGAGGCGCTCCAAGTGACAGGTATGTTTCTGTTTTTGTTTGCAACTGAGTCAGCAGCAGGTGCAGCGTGGAGAGCAGAGACAAACTCAGGAATTTCACCGGTGGGCCTACATCCAGCTACAGAGGTTGTCTAAACAGAGCAAAGCATGCGCGGACAGAATCCAAGAATCCCAAACCCCGTGTGTCCAGGTGGCCTTTGAGGCCCTTCACAAGAGGTCCGGCCAGGCTGGACACCTGCTACGGGATGAATGCTACCTGCTGGTGACACCCAAACAGGGGCAGCTTTTTGCGTTTTGTTTTGTTTTTCTTTCACCTCCAATCTGCTGGAAAAACACCCAAACCCTCGGGTCAGAGCGTAGCAGCACCTGCAGTGAGAAGGCCGGAAGTCAAGCTAGAATAGAGGAGGAAGCAGCCTGTGCTTACACCCGAGGGACCATGCTGGATTCCCCCAGTGGGCGCTGGGGCATGTGCCCACCGAGGGGCCTCAGGGCTGCATTCTGGGGAGGGGGAGGGCTGAACAGAGGCCCAGAGCTGGGCTTCCGGAGGGTGTCAGTGGCACAACATCCAGCCTGTTAGGAAGGAGTGGGGCCTTTGGGGCTTTGGTACTTGCGATCAACGGGAAACCTTGGCAAAGACGGTCCTCCTTCCAGGGTATGCTGGGGCTTGGGCAAGATCATGTAAAGGGATATGGAGACACTCAGTAAAACTTTATTGGCATCAAGAAGTGTTCAATATATAAATATTTTGGAGGCCCAGTAAAAGATTTTGGTTCATGTTCTGTACCTTGATAGTGGTGGGGGTGGTTATACTAAACCTGTACACATGCAAGAATTCATCAAACTGTATACCAAAAGCAAACAATGTCAATTTTTCTGTATGATGATTAAAAAAAAAAAAAGGCATCCGGTTCAACTCCCTTGCCTCAGACAGATTTTATGATTCCCTCTTTGCGGATAAAACAACGGAGCCCTGAGATGTCCACCATCCCCATCAGCCTCACCCAGCTTTCTTTCTACTGCCTAAGTCATTTCTGGGAACTCGGGACCCATAAAACAGATATAAGGATACCCTAAAAGAGAAAAAAAAAGACCAGAGAGGGCTTCTCTATCATAACCATGAAGGCGAATGCCCTTTGGGGGGCGGGGTCTAGTGGAGGAGGCCAGGCCTTGCTGCTCAAATGATTCTCTGTCGACAGCACCGCAAAACATCAGGGAAGCTCTGTTATTCAAAGCTATTAAGTTATCTTTTGGTAAAGCCAAGTCCTTCCCCAGCTGAGGGCAGCCCCAAGCAGGGGTAGACCCTGCTGAGGGGAGAAATAAACTACCCCCCACCCCCAGGCCGGCTGCCTGGGGTCCCTGGTGGAGGTAGGAGGACAGAATTAGAGCCACTATGCAAAGCAGTAGGAGAGGAAGGGCTCCAGCTCAGTGGAGGCAGATGCCAAAACAAGCCAGTTCCTTCTGGCAACCCAGAGACCGGGGAGGGAACAGGTCTGGCCCAGCTTGGCCCTGGCTGGCATCACTGAGCTACGGAGAGATTGACTTAAAACCTCAGGCCTGGGTGCCCTAGCTACCTGCCCGCTTGGGTTCTAGGGGGAAGCTGGTAAAAACTGATGCTGCTCTCGCTGGTCTCCACATGTTGGCCTCTGCCCTCCAGTTAAATTGGCAGCTCCCTGAGGGTAGGGACTTCTCCCTCCTGCAAGTAGAGCACGAGTGGCAGAGAGAGGTTTGGGGGTCTCCTCAAGGTCAACAGGAAGTGGAGCACAGCCTGGCTTTGCACACAGAGGTTCATTGCACTTGAGCTTCCAGCTGTGAGCTGCTCCCAGTCCCTCCAGCAGCTGGCAGGTTGGGGCTGTAACTTGTAGGGCCCTAGGGATCATTTTGTGGTGACTTCGTAACCTTAGGGGGCTTCTGAAGTGAATGGGGTCACCTGACTAAGGCCTCCTTCACCACCACAAAGTTCACCACCACAAAGCCTCCCTCTTTAAGAGTCTTACATGGGCTCTGGGTCAAGCAACAAAAAAGTAAGCTTCCAGGCCTGGGGTGGGAGCCGGGGCATGAGGAACTCCTGCCCTTAGGCAGTTTCTAGTTTAACTGGAGAACAAGGCCAGCATGGCGGCACTAGGCTGTAGGCTAGACCAGAGCTGCAGGGGCTGGGTCCAAATAGATAGGTGTTGGACAAGGATCAGGTGCTTCGGGAGGGCTTCCCAGAGGCGGAGGGCCTTGAAGAACAGTAGGTTTGGGATGGGTAGGGGAGGGCAAGCTCCTTCAGGGCTGAGGCCCGTGCCCTACAGAGCAGGACTCAAGTGCTACTTGTTAACTAAGGAGAATGCAAGATGAAGGCAGCCCTACCATGGAGAAGGGCCAGGCCGGTCAGCCTTTCTCCAGCTGCTCTGGGCCCAGCTAGGGTCAGAACAGGGGAAGAAATGACCACAGGTCCCAGCTGGACCTTCAGAGAAAAGTAGCAAGTAGCTCAGGAGAGGTCCACGAGCCCCATGGCAGCTGTCCCTTCTCACGCCCCACGGGCCCACAGGTACCCGAACATTTGTGCTCAGATACTCACATCCACCCCATACCCATAGATGTCACAAGCCAGGGTATGGTTTCTCAAGACACGTTATTTATTCCATGGGAGAATGGGCTCGAGGCTAGGAGCCCCCCGGGGTGGGAGAGGGTAGGAGAGAGTGGGAGATGGATGAAGCTCTCGGTGGCCCATCTGCGGCCAAGGGGGGTGGGCCAGCCGTGGCCCTTCTCGGGCTTCACAGGAAGCTGGTCTGCTCTGAGTCCCTTTGTAGCTTCCAGACAAGTCTCTGTCTTCCCCGACCTGAACGTGGGGTGGATCCCCACATAGCACCCCCAGAAGGCTGGGTCCAGCCTGTTCCCAGAGAACTCCCTGCTCCAAATCACTGCCCTGTGGCGCTTCCACTCCAGTCCCTTCGGCAAGAGCTGGGGACCAGGGGCTGGCGGGGCAGGCGGATCTGGTGGGCCAGTTTGGGAGGCCGACAGTGGGTCCATGGAAAAGGGGGTGGACTGGGAGCCAGGTGGCTCTGAAGCAGTCACTGAGGGCGCAGCAGGCTGTGCCCGGGGGCATGGGGACGGCTGGTCTCTCACTCCTGGCCTGGGTGCTCACCCACTGACCACTTCACCTCCCCTGTCCGCAGAGTCACTATGTCCTCGTAGGTGGCCGTCTGGTCAATGTTCAGGCCCTGGAGACATGGAATAGAGCTCAGGCCTTGGCCACTCTCTGACGACATCAACAGACAATGCTACTGACCACCCCCACGGGCCTCAGGGGGTGGGTTCCACCTTGCTCCTTACCTCGTAGGTATGATCTTCTTCCATTCCAGCCTTGTGGTCATCCTGGTGGTGCAAGAGATGGAGAACAGAATGTTAGCTTCCCCCACCCCGTCCGCCGCTGGGCCAGGCCAGGGAGGGCCAGGGAGATCGGCCTGGGTGAGGGATGAGGAGTCAGGGGTCGGGGGTGAGGTGCCCTCTGCAAGAACCGGCCTGCGCCGTGGCTGCCTCCCCGAGCCCCGGCGGTCACCTTGTCCAGCAGCAGGAAGATGGGCACGATGATGAAGACGATGATGAGCAGGGTCTGGATCAGGATGATGCTATCTTTCAGTGTGTTTCGCCGCTTCAGCTGCGCCAAGGTGCTGAACCCTGGGCAGGGGTGGGACAGGGGTGGTGAGGCGGGGTGCTCCAGGGCCACCGCCACCTCCACAATGTGGCCGCCTCGCTGCTGGTAAGCTGACGTGGAGTGGGCCGTGGATGGTTCTGCGAATACCCAGTGGCCCCATCCGCTCCCTGCCTGAAGGGTGGGCCCCAAACCCACCCATGACTCGAAGTTCGGTGCCACAGCCCCTCTCAGGGGAGCCTTCTGGGCACTCTTGCTGACAGAAGTAGATGCCATTGTCCTGATACTGGATGTTACGGATGATGAGGGTGGCGTTGGTGGCGCTCTGGGTCTGCTCTATGTGTCCCTGCTCCAGGTGCAGCAGCTTGGGCTCCGAGTCCGCAGCCTGCTTCCGGAGCCAGTTCACGTTGCCCAGAATCTTCATGAAGCACTCTATTGTCACCGTGGAACCCCGTTTCTTGGCCATGAAACGTGGGTGCTGCCAGATCTGGGAACAAGTGCTTCCTGCAGGTGCCAAGGCCAGGATTAAAATCCTGCTCAGCGTCTTCCTGACGGCCACCCAACCACGGGCCCCCACCCTGGGTGGTCCATACCCCTGGCTCAGCCCCCTGGTCTGTCCTTGCTTCTCAGGGTGTGGGACAGAAGTGTAAGGGAGCCAAGCCATGTGAGAGGCCACAGGCCACACCACCAGACCCTGCCCCTTCCTGACATTTGATTTTCCATTAGAAGAACCCTGGAACCTTCTGAATACTTTCCATCTCATTAAAGAAGGCTGATCCAGGCCTCACCCCCACCCCCACCCGGGGCCATAGGACAACCTCTCACCTGGCCCAGTGACCCCACTTCTTCCTGTCCGGTACTGCCTTGCACCGGTCTGAAATCCTCAGGGGCTTCCCACAAATCCTTAATCTGGCAGTTAGGGGCCGCCACACGTCTCCCCTGCCCACGTCCCCTCTGTCACCTCCCTCTGCCTTCTGCATGGACCTGCTCCACGTTTTATTCCCAAACCTTGGCATGCTCTCGCCACCTACCTGCTGCAAGAAGCCTCCCCACTCCTGCCTCACGGTTCCCAGTGAGTGGCCCCCTTGGAACCCCTGAGGCTGCGGGACCCATCAGGGCCCCTAAGATTTTGGGCTCCTTCTGGGGCTGGGCCTGACTGCCCAGTCCTCAGGGGGATTTTTCTTTGGTTCCCCCTCTGACCCAGGGTTCAGCCCAGTCTCTCAGTCACTGGGACTGGAGCATTTGTGTCTAATGAGGATGACAACTGGCGAGGTTGGGGTGGGGCGGGGGGATCAAGGGGTGCCTTGGAGCCAGATCTTGGAGAAGAAGACCCTAAGGAGGCTTAGGGTAGGGAGATCCAGGGGGACAAGGGACCAAGGGGCAGCCATAGGGAAAGCGACGGGCATTGGACACAGGCATCCTTACCCCCAAAAGGGGCAGGGCAGTTGCTGACCTTCAGGATTCCTGTACAGGTCCTTTATTTGGGCTTCCGGCACCATCTCACCTGCTGGTTGGGAGGAAGTAGGCAGGGCCAGGTCAGGACCTCTCCTCTGAGCTGGCTGCCCCACCCCTGCACGCCCTCCTCATTCCTAGACCCACTTCCTCCTCCCAGATAGCAGCTTCAAGACCCCTCAGCCCTCCCCAGCCCTGCTCAGGAGCAGCAGGGGTGGGGTGGGGTCACCAGAAGGTCCTCCTCCCAGCTTCCCTTCTGCCTTGAGCAGGCATCTGGATGAGACAGGAGGGAAGTCACAGCTGGAGGGCTCTCCTGTCTTCCAGAGGGGATCGTTTCTGAAACATGTATGTCCCAGAGTTGGACTGGGAGTAGCTTGCCCCCTGCTGACCCACCCCGCCTACCCACACAGTGCCCTTAGGGGCCTGAGGCTGAACCACACTCTCTCCTCACGACCCCTCAGGCCTAGCTCAGCCTGACACCTCCCGGAGGGAGAGGGGCTGGGGCCTCAGGAGGGAGAGGGGCTGGGGCCTCAGACCCCCGAGCCCATCAGCATGGCTGACACAGGGCACAGACCCAGGGCCCAGGGCAGTCTGAAGGGGACCAGAGGCAGCAAGTGAGAGACAGGAGGAGGTTGGGGAGAGCGAGGGACAAAGCCGGAGGAAACAGAATGACAGAGTGAAACCAGCAGGCCTCTCACGGGGCTGTACCTGGAAGAAGCAGCAGCAACACTACCAGCCAGTCAGCGGGCACGGGAGACAGCGCCAGCCTGGCCATGGTCACCGCTTGGTCTCCGACCCCAAGCCTGTGATGACGACCGAAGCTCCTGGGGAAAACGTGTAACTGCCTGGGCTGTAACCTGTACCCTCCCTGCTTCTTCCCCACCAGGCCCCTTCCTGCCATGCAAATCGGGACCCAGGGGAGGTAACAGCTCTCTGGGGACCCTGGGAAAGGGCGGGCTCTCTCGTCAGCTGTGCTGTTCAGACTCAAAGATCAGCCCAGTTGGGCACCACAGCTTGGGTCCAAGGTGGACACCCCTGGGAGGCGGGGTCAGGTCAGCTCGTGCTTTCCTCCATGTGTCCTCACCCCGTGGACACCCTACGGCTCTCCAGCCTCCCATCCCGAAGTCTAGGTTCTCAGGCTGAAGACACATGGGTAGATGAACTTGAGCGCGGTCCCTCTGCCCCAGACCAGCCTGCACCCCGTAGGAAGAGAGCACTAAGGAAGGATGGTGTGGGGGTGCAGGGGGCAGCTATGGGCCCAGGCCAGGTGCCCGGCGGGCCCCAGAGCACGGCCTCTTGGCTGGAGTGCAGGCGGCCATGTTAGGAGTTGGCGAAGATTTGACCTGTGGCATAAGGGAGCCACAGAGGTTCTTGAGCAAGAGCTGACCAAGTGTGGCAGCCACTTAGATGAAGATTTGGTCCGGGGCTTGGTGGGAGGCCTTGCCCCCCTCACTTGGTGGGAGAGTTTGCTGGGAGCTGCAGAAGCAGGTGAACTTAGGTGCAAACGGCTTAGAGAAAACCCTCCATTCAGCAATCAGGGAACTCCCGGGGCACTGAGGTGTCATCCATAGCTCCAGGTGTTCTCAGGAGGGGGACAGGAGGCTAGGGTTGGGGAGCCTCCTGGTTCTGAAACTAAAAGACTTTATCCTGTCTACGGCCATGCCACCCTGAACGTGCCCAATCCCGTCTGATCTCAGAAGCTGAGCAGGGCCGGGCCTGGTTAGTACTTGGGTGGGAGACCACCTAGGAAGACCAGGTGCTGCAGGCGCTTAAAAAATAAAAAAATAAAAAAAATAAACAAACAAATAAAAGTACTTGGGTGGGAGACCACCTAGGAAGACCAGGTGCTGCAGGCGCTTTAAAAAAATAAATAAATAAATAAAATAAACAAGCAAATAAATAATTAATTAAACAATAAAAAATTAAAGGCTTTATCTCTCCAGTCAGCAGAGCGATGGATGGAACTGTGGTGATTGGGAGCTTGTCTAAGCTCAACTTTGTGCCCCAGCCCCTGGGGCAGACACAACTCTTGTCCCTTAGTGGTGGTGGTGGGGTGCCCTCGTGCAGCGTACAACCTGCACAGCCGCACATGGCAGGCTTGCACGCCTCAGCCCTGTGGCCGAGCTCACTCTGAGTTTTGATTCTTGGCAGCCTCTTTTCTCTCTGTCGTCCCCTCTCTATTCTCCTGGCCCCCAGGAGGGGAAGAAAAATACCAAATGCTACGTGTCCTCTACCTGCATCTCATTCACCCTCGCTCCCTCCATTTTTCAAAAAGCCTGTGCGGCTGGTGGGTCTGTTTGGGTTTAGGCAGCTGTGGAGCCGCCCCCCGTGCCAGGGATGGGAGCGAGGAGGACAGAGGTCGGGGTGCTGCCCCCTCGGGCCTGGGTGTAGGCCTTGTGTGGCACGGGGGTGGAGGGCGTCCTGAGGACTGCGTGCCGGGGTCAGCACTGAAGAAGGCAGGCACAGGGACGTTAAGGTTTCATCTGAGGAGCAGCTTGTTCCCGGCAGCCCCAGATGTTCTTGCTGTTTCCAGATGTTCCGAATGAAAAAACATTTCCCTGAAAAGGTGTCGGATGTTCAGTGCACAGAACAAACAGCCCGAGATCATAAACATCACCTGAGGTCAGCTTGGGGACCACAGGCTCCAGGTGCTGGTGGGGGTGTTTGGAGACCCTCCAGCAGAATGGGGGGAAATCCAGGGGTTTCGTCCTTTAGCAAAGTACCTCCTGGTGATTTAGGCCTTGGTTAGCTTGGGGCTCGTGTCCCCCAGAGTTGAGAGGATAATTGGGAGAGGCTTGAGGCACACATGTGTACGTGTGCACATGTATGTTTGCACAGGTGTGTCGCCCGGGCTATGTGGCACAGGGCCTGCTGAGGAGCTGATCCTGGGGCCCAGGTGACTATGGGGGGCGTGGGGGCTGGGGGGCAGTTGGCATCCTCCAAATGCGAACATCCACACAATCCCCTGGGGACAGGGACGCAGATGTGTCCTTTGGACTCATTCCCATTCAAGCCAGGCAGGGATCTGCTTTCAGGAGGAGGTGGGGCCAGAGGAGGCCCCACTGCCTGCAGGGTTATTTGTCACAGTTGGGGCCACGCTGTTCCCTCCCTGGTGACAACAGTACCAAGCTCTGTCCCGGGTTTGTGACGCCTTTTCTTTCCCGGAACATGAGGCCTCCTCAGCCCACTCCTGCCTTTGCCCCTGGCTGCCCCGGGCTGTTCACGCCAACATCGGCAGCCTCCACCCCACCCTTCTAGGAAGGCAGCATCAAAACAAGAGATGGGGGTGTAGGGAGAGGGGACAAGGAGCGAAGCCAGAGGGCAGGTCCCCAGCAGCCCTGGGGAGGATGGGAGAGGCTAGAGCCTCAGTTTGGAAAGAAGGGCTCAGAGCTCTGCCCCTCCCCAAAGCCACTCTTGCTGGCTCCGCCTGGTCTCTCAGCTCATCTCAGGTGGCATTCATATTCCCCGGGGTGTGTGTTCTGTTACTGGGAGGATGAATCCTGGCCCTGCTGTGTACCAGCCAGAAAGTCTCCTCAAGTTACCTGGTGGTCCTCAACGAGGGGTGGTCCCGCTCCACCCCTGGAGCATCTGGAAATGCACCAAGGCCATTTCAATGGTCACAAGGACCAATCGACGCCGTTGCCTTTCACAGGCCAGGGCTGCTGGAGGGGCCTGCAGTGGGTGGGACGGTGCCTCCCAAAGCAGAGTTTCATGCCTCACTTGCCCAGTTAAGCAGCACTCATTCTTAACCTCTCAGAGACCAGATTTCCTCATTTATGTGAAATAGAAAACATGGTAATAATATGTTCTTCACAGGGCAGCTGTGAGCCTTGAAGGAAAATCTTTCCCCGTCGTGCTGGCTGAGGTGCCTGGAACACAGCTCGTCCTTGAGAAAGGGATAAGCGGCGTTGACAATTGGGGAGCGGAGGGATGATTCAGAAATCTTAGCCTACGTTATCTGTGTTTCTTGGCCCTTTGCCTTTTTTCTTCTGCCATTCAAGGCTCAGAGGCAAGCGGGGCTGGGACGCCCTGCAAGCTCTCCTGTCTTTGGGGCTGAAGAGGGTCCCAGGGGTGGTTTGGAGAAACGAAGTGGGTGGGAGCCACGACCTGCCGGAGGGAGGTCAGCACCCTGGGGGTGCTCAGAGAACTCTGCAAGGATGCTCTGTCTTTCACCCCACGCGACGAGAGCAGCCGGTGGAGAGGGGCCTCGGGGACGTGGCTGAGGGACATCAAGGCAGTCTGTGGGTGCCCCCCTATCCCCCATGGGAGCCAGGTGACCTCAGGACCCAGAGAATCCTGAAAAAGACTAAGCGTTTACTAGTTTAGAGGAATACATCATGGGAGTCCAAAATCAAGCTGTAGAGAACAAAATTATCTATAAAATTATATTTCACCCACGAGACTGTTGAACTCACTGCACAATATTACTCTTCGTCACAGGCCCGTGGGACCCTGGGCTCTCTGGGGTCAGGGGTCAGAGGCAGGATCCTGGGGGGAAGAGTATTTCTGAGGAGAGGGAGGGGCCACACCATGTGCCCCACAGGAAACTCGGGGCCTCCGGGGCGGGGGGCAGAGAAGTGAAGGGGGCTTCCAGAGAGGAGGGGCTGTGGATGCAGGGTCCCCATATCTACTCCCTGGGTGCTGTCATAGGTGGGAAGAGGGTGTGGTGCTGCCCGTTAGGGAAGAAGAGATATGACTCCTAACCTTGTCTGGCCTCTTGGACATCAGCCAAGAGGCTAGAGTCCACGCCTGCTTTTGGAGGGGGCAGGAGAGAGCTGGATTGGGCCAGGGAAGAAATTTGGGGCCCTCCTTATCCTGCCCTCCCCAAACCCCTTCAAGAGACTCCCCAGGTCTTCCCCACCTGGCTCCAGTCCCCAACCCTTCTTGCTTCTTGCTGCCCTCACCTCCCATCGATGCCCATTCTCGGAGGCGCAGAAGGAAGAAGCCCACAGGTCAGAGGCACCAGGAGGAGATTTATTATAAGAACTGTACAAAGGAGCCTGTCTGCTGGCCTGGCTTGGGCCTGTTCCTACCTGGACAAGGTGCGAGGGGGTGTGGGTCTGCAGGTGGGAACGGGGCACAGGCAGGGGGAGGCTCTACAATCTGTACACAGTCTGGTGGAGAATATCCAGTCCAAAGAGCTGGGGACCAGTCCGGGACCGAGCAGGGAAAGGCAGTGAGTGGCAGGGCGCTGGTCAGGGAGGAGGCTGCGCCCCCGCAGGATGAACCTTCTGAAGGAAGCGACAGACAGAAGGAGTGGGGCCTCCTTCCACAGAGGACACAGGCAGGAGACGGGGAGCAGGGCTGGGACGATGGTGTGACAAAGAGAACCAGTGGAGGGGGAAGGATGGACTCATGGGGAGCGAGCGAGAGGGACGCCGGGCAGGGCGGCGAGGAGGCCGGAGAGCGGGGCAGGCAGAAAGGAAGGCCCTGGCCTGTGGGCGTGCACATGCACCGACACACACACATGGTGTTTTGGAGGTTTTGCTGCTTCCTGAGTTTTAATCAAATTGTTCACGAGAAACAAGAAGAAAAAGAAGAGGAACTAAGGCCAACAGGGACTCAGCCTTACCACACATGTTCACACTTGTACATCCACTCACAGGACAGGCCTACGCAGAAGACAAATGCACACAGCAGCCAGACACCGCAGGGCACACTGGCACACATGTACACAAATATACCCATACACACGTGCATATGTGGGCCTCGTGGGACGCGGTGGTTCACACACTTGGACACACACACAGCTGTATACACAGGCACGCGCGCAAGTGAATAAATCCAGTGACCTCCGAGCGGGTCTCTCTTCCAAGCTCAGCCTGTGTCTGTTCTCTGGG